ATCCTACGTGCCGGCCTCCATCTCAGCATCTGCATCACAGGGAGCAAACCAGCCACACCTGTCAACAATATTCCTTAGAGCCACGAGCAAACTGCTAGAAAACCTCAATAATCAGGGGACTGTCTAACCTATAACTGGGTTAACAAATGTATATTCCACCATTTGTTTATTCCCAGCTCATCATCACACAAAAGCATTTTCAAAACTTCATTCTGATCTAAGGGTTGAAACTACAGCCAAGCCATAACTCAAAATATGTTTTCTCCAAGACCCAAACATACAGAGACATTAGTCCTGATTTACACGTGGACACAGAAGGTCCACTGAGGTCAGCCAAGATACACACACCCACTCCTCAGAATCTCTGGAGGATTTAATCACTCGCTTTGGCAGCAAAAGATATCAAAATGGGTTACAGGTTTATAAACCTATTAACCGAGTCACTTTGCGGTATACCTGAAATACTGTCAATCAACTATACTTCAATTAAAAAAGAATAAATAATGTACAGCCATGGCTAAGAATGATAGCTCCATGAAGAGCATTTTTATTTAAGCCACAAAACTACCATATGTGTTCACTGAATTCAGTACAATGACTCCTCCTCAGTCCATTTTCACAGACAAGGAAACAGGTTTAGAAAAGTTAGAAGGTTATTCAAGGGTACAATGCTGTGCAAGGGGGTAAAGCTGAGATGTGAATTCACACAGTATGACTACAAAGACCCTCCCCTCCCTCCATCACTACCACACTGACAATACATGCCACCCCCTCACCCCTGCATGTGCAGAGTGTCCAGCATGGCCACTAGCACACAGCAGATGTTCTGAAATCATTAGTTAAGTTTGTTCTTTACTCTTTAGCTTTCCTCCTCTCTATTCTCTGCTCTTCACAATCTCCCGGCCCAAAATATCACTTTAGAGTTCAGTGGGAGTGAGGGACGGGTAAGGACAGTCAGGATGGCAAAACTCTACAAGTGATAAATGCTGGAGAGGGTGGGGAGAAAAGGGAACCCTCTTACACTGTTGGTGGGAATGCAAATTAGTACAGCCGCTATGGAAAACAGTGTGGAGATTTCTTAAAAAGCTGAAAATAGAACTGCCATATGACCCAGCAATCCCACTTCTGGGCATACACACCAAGGAAACCAGATCTGAAAGAGACACGTGCACCCCAATGTTCATCGCAGCACTGTTTATAATAGCCAGGACATGGAAGCAACCCAGATGCCCATCAGCAGACGAATGGATGAGGAAGCTGTGGTACATATACACCATGGAATATTACTCAGCCATTAAAAAGAATTCATTTGAATCAGTTCTAATGAGATGGATGAAACTGGAGCCCATTATACAGAGCGAAGTAAGCCAGAAAGATAAAGACCATTACAGTATACTAACACATATATATGGAATTTAGAAAGATGGTAACGATAACCCTATATGCAAAACAGAAAAAGAGACTCAGATGTATAGAACAGACTTGTGGACTCTGGGAGAAGGCGAGGGTGGGATGTTTCAAGAGAACAGCATTGAAACATGTATATTATCTAGGGTGAAACAGATCACCAGCCCAGGTTGGGTGCATGAGACAAGTGCTCGGGCCTGGTGCACTGGGAAGACCCAGAGGGATCGGGTGGAGAGGGAGGTGGGAGGGGGGACCGGGATGGGGAATACATGTAAATCCATGGCTAATTCATTTCAATGTATGACAAAAACCACTGCAATGATGTAAAGTAATTAGCCTCCAACTAATAAAAATAAATGGAAAAAAAATATTCAGTTAAAAAAAAAAAAAAAAGGACAGTCAGGATGGATCCAGGAAATATTACTCTTTTCCCTACTCTTCCCTTCCTAAAGTCTAGTCATGAGCATATACTTGTTTTCTGTTTAAACTCTTTTCAGATGATTATTACAGATACTATATTAAAAATAACGCAAATCTAAAAAGAAACTTTCTACCATCACTTCTCAAGTTTAAGTTCATGTTTTATGCGCCTATGTCAACTTCTAGTTCTTGTCCATGAGCATATGCAGTCTTTATATTTACAAAATCATTATACATTATATATTTAGATGTGTCTGCTTACATTATACCATATATATTTTTCCAGTAGATTTGTCTTATAACCCAAATAAGCAGCGTGGTAAAGCTCTGCAGATAATGAAGATACCTTTCTATGTAACTGGACCCAAGATATTTTCATTAGAAGCTTCCCTTTTGTTTGTGGGGGCGAGGGGGGGGGGATGACTTAGCCTAGTTACTCTGAAAACTGATACAAAAATGTATCAATGTAACCATGTAAAAATCATATGACAGTCACTGGCCTTCTCTCTTTGCTGTATGTTCCTCAAAGCCCACACAACTCACCACCACCCCCCTCCCCATGCCTGGCACAAAGTAAAGGTTCAAAAAAATACTTGATGAATGAACAGATGATTCTTCTCTGGGCTGAAGAGTGAAGGTGTAAGATTCCTTAGGAGGAGGCACAGGAGACTCCAAAGTTAAGCCTGAAAACAGGGCAGGATGAACCAGAGGGAACAGGCAGAACAGGCCGGAAACCCCATGGTAAAGGCCAGCTACATTGGTCAGGAGGAAGCATGTGGTTTCCTGAATTATATCCGTTCAAAGCCGTCAACCTCTGAAGCATGACATACAGAGATCATGTCAAGGATCCACAGTGCCCCTTCAGTCCCACTTTAGAGTTGTTTCTAAAAGGGTGTTTACATTATCAGAAGGGCTATAGAGGTCAAGGCAGCTGGAAGAGAAAAATAAGACTGAAAAAAGAAAAAAAAAGAGAATAGGTACACCTCAGAGAACATCCCTATACAACATCATTAGGGGAAGATTCTTAAGCTAGAGTCCACTGGGCTTCCTCTGGGCAGCACAGTGAAACTTTACAAAACTGTGAAAACACTGAAATGGGTATAAATTGCGCCGGTGTGTGTGTTTCTGTCTAGACAGCAGACCTCAGATTCATCAGATTCTTATGCCCTTTGGTTATTGAGACTGCTACTTCTTCCACTTTATCAATGCAAATGGAGCTCTTCTAAATCCATCATTATTCTTTAGGGGCTGGAAGTGGGCATGAGAGGTGGTAGGAAGGAGAGAGAGAAAGTAACTAAGCCCTGGAAGACCTATTAATTGAGTGACTAGATGTGAAAGGATTACAGAGGGTTCTGCATATATAAACAAGGGCCTATAAATCTTAGCGCTCAGTATTTTTATTACTCTGTGACAAATGCCTTATGCTTTCCCAGCTTCACAATAACCCTAAAAGGTCAGCATGAGTCCCATGTCCTATTTATGAGACTCAAGAGAGACTGAGTAAAATTACTCCCAGGTTACACGGCTAATGATGGAGTTCAGAACTACCTAACTCTAAAGCTTGGACTCTTCATCTCCACCCCATGACCTGAATTACTGGCCAGGCTTTCAGTCTGAAAGCAGCCTTTCCTGCTATCCTTAAGGCTTTTACATCTTAAGTCCAATAGTCTTTCTCTCTGAGTCTGTCCATCAGAACAGGCACTGAGCCTAAAAATTAGTTTCTTCAAGCCAAGGCATAATTTACTTGTTTATATAATAGGGCCCCGGTCATCCCACTCAAATTTATACACTCAAGCCAGTTTCTCTCACACGGTGTGTGTTAGTTGCTCAGTCATGTTGGACTCTTTGTGACCCCACGGACTGTAGCCCTCCAGGCTCTTTCGTTCATGGGATTTTCCAGGCAAGAATACTGGAGTGGGTTGCCATTTCCTCCTCCACTCTCACAGGGTATCAAGTGTAAATTAAAGATATTACCACACTTACCACAATTTAACTCCTTTGCCTCTCCGATGCAACCAGGTCAAAGGCCAGAAGAGAAGAAATGTTTTCGAGTAGTCACAAACCAGAGTGAAAAAGCTCCAAACTAAGTCTCCTATTTTCTGGTTTCAAAACCCATGCTCAAGATTGCAGCTAAACATTAGCTACTAAAACAGCCTCCCTAAAACACAGGAGAATTCTGATAAATGTACTATACTCAGCACTTCCTATGTGTCTGCACTTTACACACATTATCCTTATGTTTCCCAAGAGGCAAACAAGCTGTTAGATCGTTACTTCTCACGAGGTTAAGCAAGTCTCTCAGGGTCACACGGGCAGTAAGCAGTAGAACCAGGACTTAAACCCAGGTCTGATATCATCAGCGTTCTTAACCATCCTCTTCTCACCATGTCTACACAACCACCGTGATTCATGCCACCCAACATCTCCTGTTGGTTTTCCCTGGAGCCACTTCCCTGAAATCTTCAAAGGAGAAACCATGGAAGCAAGACAGATAGACTCTGAATAGCAGATTCGGGTTTCAGGTACAGCTCTACCTACTAGCTCTGTCACCCTAAGAGTTAACTCGACCTTCCAAGGTGTGTTTCCTCACCTAGGGGATGAAGCTCATTGTTCCTATTTCAGGATCTAGAAGACCCTGTTTCAGGGTATAGGTGTTAACGTGAAGGTTGGTTACCTTTTCCCCTCCTCAAAGCACTAAGATGAAAACAAGCGTCGGGCTTTCTGAGCGCCCCAGTGGCGCTCGACTTCAGAGTCCTTCCACCACCACTTCCTCTCACCCCTCTCCACCCTCGTGGCTGCCGCTTAATTTCCCCTCCCTTTCAGTACGTTCTCTTGCCTCGCAAGAAGGACTGGCCTTGGACGCTGGGAGTCTACCTACTTCTTTTTGTCCCCCGACGCTGGGCTTGAGGGTCTATCAGGACCCAGCGCGTCCTGCAAAGCCAGTGTCGGCTGCGCACCCCGCCGCGCGTCCCGCCCCGAGGGGCGGGGTGTGACCAGAGAGTTTGGATAGGAGGCGCTTGCCGTGGGAAACACCCCGCCGCCCGCGGAGCTTCCTCGGCGGCGCAACCTCTCTGGCCGAGACGCGCTGAGCGGCCGGGAGGCTTTTCTGCACCCGGACCCCCGTGGCCTCGGTCCTCCCGCAGCCTCCGCTCCGGCTCGCCGCGCCGCCGGTCATGAGGCCGCTGTTTTACCGCTGCCACAACACCACGTCGGTGGAGAAGGGCAATTCGGCGACGATGGGCTGGGTGCTCTTCAGCACGGGCCTCGTGGGCAACCTGCTGGCGCTGGGGCTGCTGGCGCGCTCCGGTCTGGGGTCGTGCACGCCGCGCTCGCCGCGCCCGCCGCCCTCCGTCTTCTACGTGCTGGTGTTCGGCCTGACGATCACAGACCTCCTGGGCAAGTGCCTCGTGAGCCCCTTCGTGCTGTCCGCCTATGCGCAGAACCGGAGCCTGCGGGGGCTGCTGCCGGGATCCGACAGCTCTCTGTGCCAAGCCTTCGCCTTCTTCATGTCCTTCTTCGGGCTCGCCTCGACGCTCCAGCTGCTGGCCATGGCCCTGGAGTGCTGGCTTTCCCTGGGGCACCCCTTCTTCTATCGACGGCACCTCACCCCGCGCCGGGGCGCAATGGTGGCGCCGGTGGTGGGCGCCTTCTGCCTCGCTTTCTGCGCGCTGCCCTTCCTGGGCTTCGGGAAGTTCGTGCAGTACTGCCCTGGCACCTGGTGCTTCTTCCAGATGGTCCGCGAGGAGCGCTCGCTGCCCGTGCTGAGCTTCTCGGTGCTCTACGCCAGCCTCATGCTGCTGCTGGTCCTCGCCATCGTGCTGTGCAACCTGAGCGCCATGCGCAACCTCTACGCCATGCACCGGCGGCTGCGGCGACTCCTGCGCCCGGGCCCCAGGGAACGCGCCGAGCCGGGCGCGGGCGAGAGGGAGGCGACCCCGCTGCACCTGGAGGAGCTGGATCACCTCCTGCTGCTAGCCCTCATGACCGTGCTCTTCACCATGTGCTCCCTGCCTTTAATTGTGAGTTGGCCGCGCTAAAGCTTCAGGAGACGGGCGCGCGGTGGGCCGCAGGAGAGGGGAGGGACGAGTAGGGCGTGTTGGGCGCGGTGCAAGAGAAGCTGCGCCCAGAGACGGGAGGGTTTGTTCCCGTTCCGCGGATCAGGTTCCGTTCCCTCCGCAGTCCTCAGGAGATAGAATCTGATTTGTTGAGCGAAAAGAGGTAAAGCCACAGAAACTGAGGGAAAGCAGGAGCCGGACTGTGTCCCCTTAGCCCGGCAGAACCTCTCCAGTGCTGTCTGCTTTCCTCTGAGGTCTCAGGACCATTTTTGCACCTCAGAACTTTGAGAAGCGGAACTTGGTTTCTCCTCGGCAGTACGGGTCCTTTTCCACTTTCCAATGGCTAAGCGAGGTTTTATTTCGTTACACCTGCTCATGATCTTAGTGGCATCAGAAATGCGCAAATGACATCAGGGCGTTCTTTCCACCCCACCCCCCGCCTCCGGTGTTGGCATGGCAAGGGAATAAGGGAAGGTGTAATCCTGCCAAAGTGATTTGCAGACGCGAGTGACTAAAAACGTAGGCTTCGTTTAGTCTTGTTTTTTTTTAACTGGTGTGTAAACTTTGAGGAGTGGAGGGCGCCCTTTCCCGTACTGCCGCTGCAGGGGACGGTGTCTGCAGAGGCGGAAAGGCTGTTTGGACTAGCAGGTGTGGAGGAAGGTTTCAACTTGTGTCGCTCTGATAACCTGTCTCCACCGGTGTTGTTTCTGTCTTGGCAAGCGAGGTGACATGAGAGCCATTCCCTTTGGGTTTCAATTTACTGATGCAGGTGGTGGTGCAGATTGAATTACTTCGTCGTTTTGAAGGTATTTCCTCCTGTGAGCCCTGCCAAGACATCTAGAAGTGGCTGAGGCTAGAAGTATTGCTCCTCTTTCTCTTCTGACTCTGCAGTGTACTTGTTCAACATGAACAACGTTTAAATAAATTCATTGTCAAGTCCATGTTTTTGGAGCCCCAAGACTTATGTGAATAGGAAAGTTAAGTTTCTTATGGCAGTGTAGCAGTTTTGGACATTACTTTCAAGGGTGGATGAAAGTGACATATAATGTGATTTTTCCCTTAAATGAAGGTCTTAGTATTGGGCCAATAGCTGTCTGGATTAGGATCGGAACTCCCCAAAATAAATAAATATATAGCTATATAAACAAAGAGATAAAGATATAGGCGGAGATATTTAGCAATTGTTTTCAAACTTTATCACACTCAGACTCATCAGCGGCGCTTTTAAAAACATAGCTGGCTGGCCCTGTCCTCCAGAGTTGCTGATTCAGATATTTTTGAAGAATTCAGCATCCTCCACCTCACCTGCTGATGTGGAGATCACATTTGAAGAACCACACTCTGAAGCAGGAGTTAGCAAATCAGAGCCTAAGTATCCAGAGAGCTGGCGACAGCAGCATTTTTTTTCGTGGATCCCTAGTTTCAGCAGGGGGCGCTCTTCCTATCGGATTTTCCCTGTAATGGACTACATTCTCTAAACAAGCCCGTTGTTTATTCTGTGTGTTTCTTAGTCAACCCTCTCTTATAGGAGCAGTTTTATAAAGTATCTTCTAGAGAATACTATTGATCATCAGAGGTTTTTTGAAAATCTAGATTGTGTTCAAACAGACATCTTGAATAGAGTATGTATTTTGATCACTATCAGAAGTGAATAAATTTGTCATAATTTCAGTAAACCCCCAAAATAAATAAAATTAAAAGGCCATTCATAGAATAAATATTACATTTCTAATACAAATCTATTGACTTGAAAATATCAATTAAAATAACTTAATATGCAGGAGAATGGATATTGATGAATACTGCATAGAAATAAAACGATTTGTCTTCATAATTTAAACATCGTTCAGTTACCCAGATGCGAACTAATCAAGCATTCTCAAATAGTAAGAATTATATCTTTCTGAACTCCACTTTGAGGAGAAAGGAGTAAATATAAAGATTTAAGTCATATGAAGTGTTTTCTTTTTCAAGCAACTCAAGTATGTAGCCTGTTGCCATCCATTTGTTCATTCATCTTAGATCTGGAACCTACAACATTCCAGGCACTGTAATTCATTGCAGGGAATTAAAATGAGAAAAACCTCACATCTGCCCCCAGAGCTATAATCCTGGGGGTGAGAGGGAGTGAGTAGGGCCAGAAGAGAGTTTAGAAAAGGAAAGGATTAACTCCTAATTGATAAAATAGTAATACTAGCTAATTATTTAATTATTATTTTATGCAAAGACCTGTTCTCAGGGTTTTACTCATACTATCTCATTCGAATTTTGTAACGATGCTGGAAAATAGGTTCAATTGTCCCCGTTGTATAGATGAAGAAACAGAGTAACTTGCCTGAAATGTCATAGCCAGTGAGAGGATTCTATCTAACCTGGATAGTCAGACTCTAAAGCTGATGAGCTTAACCATCACTTCAAAGAGGCTTCTAGATGGGGGTAATACTTTAGGTTGGCCTGGAAAAAAGGTAGGATTTGGGCACATGATCAATTTCCATATCTGTAAAATGGAGATAATGAACATACTTAACAGGATTCTTGTGAGTATGAAACAAACTTTTTAAAGTGAAATGCTTAGAATGGTGCCTAGGAATATGAAACTCTGTATGGGCATTAGCCATTATTATTACTCTTTGTGTTATTGAACAGTTATAATGGGGTAGGGCTTCCAGATAACCTCTGTCTTCCTAAGTGCACTAGATGGGAGTATCTGAGCCTGCTGAAACGATCTACCGAAAAGAGAATAAAAAGGTAAGGAAACAATTATGGGAACATACATCTTCTCATATCCCTGACTGCCTTGAGTGGGTTTGGTCTGTGCACTTATTTGTAACCCCTCCCATTAATGCTGAGTTTGCATATTTTCTGGTCCATTAGCATCCATTTTGTCCCATTATGAATTTAAAAATCTCAGTGGGTTTGGGGGATGTAAGGGTATTGAGAAAAAGCAGTGCTGGTCAAAACAGCAGTGTTGACTGAATGGCAGGAAAGGGATGAAGCAGTTTGCAGGGCTACCCAGAGACCGGAGACCTCAGGGAAGAGCAAGACAATAGGAGTGGCTGGGCACAGGTATATAGGCTTATCTTTCTGTCCCTAAATTATAGTGCCTGGAATGTTGGAGGTTTCTTCCTAGTCTGAAAAGAGGATGACAACCACAGAAAGATAAGCATCTGTGCTAAGAATAACTAATTTACATGAGTTGTCCCCTGTCTTTCCACTGGAATGCATGCATGCATGCATGCAAGTCACTTCAGTCTTGTCTGACTCTGTGTGACCCTATGGACTGTAGCCTACCAGGCTCCTTTGTCCAGTATTCTCCAGGCAAGAATACTGGAGTGGGTTGCCATGCCCTCCTCCAGGAGATCTTCCTCATCCAGGGATCAAACCCATGTCTCTTACACCTGCCATATTGGCAGGAGGGTTCTTTAGCACTAGCGCCACCTGGGAAGCCCCTCCACTGGAATATTTCCTGTCTTTTCACATTGATTAAAAGTTTCTGTTTCAAATGGATTCACAGACATAGAAAACAAACTATGGTTATCAAAGGAGAAATTGGGGGGAGGGATAAATAAGGGATTTGGGATTAACAGATACATACTACTATATATAAAATAGATAAAGGACCTACAGTATAGTAGAGAAAACTATATTCAATATCTTATAGTAACCTATAATAGAAAAGAATCTGAAAAAGGATATATATATACACACACACACACACACATAGATGTATATATGTGTGTATGTGTATATATATGCATCTATGTTTGCGTATATTTATGTATATGCTATATACCTGAAACATTGTATATCAGTTACACTTCAATAAAAAAAGTTCAGAGAGGGGAACACATGTAAATCCATGGCTGATTCATGTCAATGTATGGCAAAAACCACTACAATATTGTAAAGTAATTAGCCTCCAACTAATAAAAATAAATGGAAAAAAAAAAAGTTCAGAGAAAGGGAAGTTTCTGTTCATTGGTGCCTCCACACATGCGACATTTCACGTGTGACTTATTTCTGTGCCAAGAATCAAGAACAGGAAGGAGGCAGAAGAAAGAAGGGAAGAAATTTAGTATGTTTGGGAGTCTGGTGACCCTGTTTGTAAACAATTCAGTGGACTGGCTCTGTCCCACTTCAGCTCTTCCTCTGCACCGCCAGGTAACGCTAGCCCTAAGCTCTGACTGCAGCAGGCTAGCTCCAGAGGTTAGCCTGGGGCTTCCAGGAGGACCTGCACCTCCTCACTTGCACCCATTCATGACTGGCCAAAATGAATATCACAAGGCAAGCTGCCATAGTGTTATGGAAAAATAATGCTTCATAAGTGAAGTAAGGGAATTTATCGTGGCCATAGACCTTTTGCTATCCTAATCTAATGTTTTTCTTTAAAACAGTATCGTGCTTACTATGGAGCGTTTAAAGCTGTTCCTGAGCAAAATGGAACCGCTGAAGAAATTGAAGACCTCCGAGCCTTGCGCTTTCTCTCTGTGATCTCAATTGTGGACCCTTGGATTTTCATCATTTTCAGAACATCGGTGTTTCGAATGTTTTTTCACAAGATTTTCATAAGGCCTCTCATATATAGAAATTGGCACAGCAATTCTTGCCAAACTAACATGGAATCCAGTCTATAACTATGTTACCCTCTCTCATAAACTCAAGAATATATCACATCTTCTGCAAAGAACCATGAGCCACAAAAAAATCTTATAATTTATATCCTTAAAAGGTATGTTCCATAACAAAATATCTAAATGTATTTTCAGAACTGTTTTGTTCATTCTTCATAATGTGTTGTCCCTCTGTATTCATGAATCAGTTCAGTGGAGTTTTTCATTTTGAGCTATAATAGCAACTACACTTTCATATATTGTAAACTGGTAGCTCAGTTGCTAAAGAATCTGCCTGCAAAGCAGGACACCCAGGTTCATTCTCTGGGTTGGGCACTGGGTTCAGTCCCTGCATTGGGAAGATCCCCTGGAGAAGGAAATAGCAACCCACTCCACTGTTCTTGCCTGGGAAATCCCAGGGACAGAAGAGCCTGATGGGCTACAAGAGAGTGTCAAGAGTCGGATACAATTTATCAACTGACCCAAACAATGTTTAAAGTCTTAAAGCGATTATGGTGATTGTTTCAATGTGCGTACTTGTTTTCCCTAATTTTTTAAGGAGATCTTAGGCCTCTAGGTCTTTATTTAAATCCAGAAGAAACACCACTGTTCATAATTATGTAATAGGTTGTTCTTAAATTTTCTTATTCTCCTTATTTCTAGTGAAACTTGATTTGTTTATTATGTGTCACAATTGCTCCTATTTAAATATTTTCTTTGCCACCTGATGCAACTACAGTCTGAGTTAGAGATGCCCCTCCTAAAAGGGAAGTGCAAAATGTAACTAGATCAGGCATTTGGAGCATCCTTCTCCGGCCAACCCCTGAAAGAAGGCTCACTGCCTTGTGTGAAGAGCCAAAGCTATAAATAAGTAAATGAGAGGCAAGGTGTGACTATGGTCTACAATCCAAAGAAGAAAAAAATTCCATTTATCCTTTAAGTCCAATTTCTTATCTGGAGGGTGTCAGTAGGCATAAATATTTGGGAGTGGGCTACAAAATGTTTCAGTTTTTTGGAACCTCCATTTTGTAGCTTTATCATATTGATGGATTCTTTGGTGGGGAGGGATTTATTGTTCTTTGAAAGACTGGGATGTATCATTTCCCAGAAAGCATGTTTACTACACAGAGCGGGGCATTCAGCACAGCAACAAGCTCACCGGAATTCAGTCAGTCTCAGCTGAGCATGGTGGCGATGACCTTAACACCTACCTGTTAAAGCCATATTCTGCCCTTGGGGGAGATGGTAAGAGTTCCTGAGAAATACAGTTTCAAGCTGGAGCAGGATATGGCTCAGATGGAGCACAACCAAGCACTTTAACTGTACATTTAATTGTACATCATGTTTACAAATGTTAGCAACACTATGACCAAAAGGGAAAAGTGGGGAAAATACAGCTGCAGCTGTTAAACCAAAGAGACTGTAGACCCAGCCTGCAGGGAAGAACTTTCACCTTGGGTAGAAGAATACACAGGGGCTTCAGAGGGCTTTTGGCATCTGTGGGTCCCTTTGTACCCAACACAGACTCTGAGCTGGAGAACCGGCTACATTTGAATAGCCTGAGATCCCCATTTAGTCATCCCTTCCAAAAACCAGAGTATTTGCCTTATTTCCAGTTTAGCAGCAGCCCCATTTTTACCTCTGGTTTATCTCAGAGGTGGTATTAACCTGGAAATATATGTGTATTTTTTGTGTGTACCAAAACTGTGAAATGGTCAAATACAGGAATACACAAATTATAATCTGAAAGCGTGATGTGATGCAAAATACACTCATTTTCGACTTTAACTCTTGCTTGTGTACTTAATGTGTAACTGCCTGTGTGTTTTATTGTGAGAGGAAGTTTGTTTTTTTATGCTCTCCTTTTGGAAAGTGTTATGATCATTGTCAAGATCATTTGAAAAGTTCCCAGATGAATCAATAAATATAATTTTATAATATTTTGCAAAGAAAATTACTTTTCTTCAAATGAAAGAAAAGAACTTCATGTTTTGGTTTTGTTTCATTGTTTTGAGTAAAAGTTTATCAGCAGCCTTTCATTCTCTAGCAGTTTAATAGAATGGATTTTTATAAACTGTCCTATTAGCAAATATGTTACCTTAAACAATTTTGCATAGGTTTATCCAAGGAATTAGTGGTCCTTTCTGTCTAACACAATGTAGATACACCATCTGTATGAAGTCCTTGTTAAGTCAAAAGTCAACTTTTCAATGATCTTCATTGATTTATTCATTATATTATTAAATAAGTTTTAATTGACACATACCTTGTGCCAGGCAATTAGGTGCTGAGGAAGAAAATACATAAGACTTAGTTCTGGCCCATAAGTTGCTCATTGTCCAGTGGGAGAGACAATCATGTAAACAGGTTACAAAAGAGTATGGAAATCCAAGTAATAAATGTGCATGCAGAGTCCCATTAGAAGAGGAAATCTGAACTCTGGGTTACATAGGGTAGAGTTGTCACTAACCCTAACTCAGGGTAGTTCTGTAGGGTTGTCAGAACTGCACAGTGAGAAGATACCGAAGTCAAGTACTGAAGATGAGTAGGAATTTTGACTCCAGTTGAAAACTAAAGAAAGGACTAAAATAGTCCACATAAGAGGAAATACATATGGTTAATAAATGTAAAAAAAGACTTCCTGTCTAACCAAAGAAATGCTAAATTAAAATCAAATTATCAAGGACCACACACAAAAATAATGATGACTGTCAATAACAGAAAGGCTCTTATTAAATAAAAAGAACACTGGTGCTCCCCTGGTGAGTTTATAAATTTGTCCACCTTTTCTTTCTTTTTTTAAAAATTATTTATTTATGTCTCTATCTAGCAAGGGCTGTGCTGAGTCTTCATTGCTGTTCCGGCTTTTCTTTAGTTGTGGCGAGTGGGGGCTACTTTCTACTTGCAGTGCACAGGCTTCTCATTGAAGTGGCTTCTCTTGTGCAGCATGAGCTCTGGGGCACTTGGGCTTCAGCAGTTGTTGCACATGGGCCCAGTAATTGCGGTTCCTGAGCTCTCGAGCACAGGCTCAACAGTTGTGGTGCACCAGCTTAGCTGCTTCACAGGATGTCGGATCTTCCCAGATCAGCACTGCAGGCAGATTCTTTGCCACTGAGCCACCAGGGAAGCCCAGTTCACATTTTCTCAATAGCAACCTGACGGTGCATATCAGGAGCCTTAAAAGTGTTTTTTTCTACCATTCCAGTGACTCCACTCTAGAATTCTCTTCCAGAAAATAATCAGAGGGGTTGTCACAATTATGTGCAAAACTCTTCCTTGTAGCATTGTTTAAAATAGCAAAAAAATGAAAAGGAAACCATCTAAATGACTGAAATAAGGGTTAGACAAACTCTTCATGTATTATACACGCACACACACACACACACACACACACACACACATACACATATATGAAAATAATGCAGCCATATAACAAGATGTTTTCAAATAATTTATAAAAATTGAGAAGAAAGCTTACAGTGTCATATGAGGTGGAACAAGCCTGAAACAAACTATTTTAAGGTATGATCCATAATTAAAGTATATGTGTGTGTGTGTGTGTGTGTGTGTGTGTGTGTATAAGACCTTGAAAAAATAAACCAGAGAATCAAAGTGTGGGCCACAGTTATCTTTTTTATGGACATTTTTCCCCGTAATTCTTCATATTTTCCAAGTTTTAAAATAATAAGTAAAATTTTCTTTCATGTGAAATTCTTTTTTAAAATAATGAAGAGAAATGGGCTGAGAAAACAAGGGGGAAAGGCATACAGGACAAGCTTTCAAGTTAAAGGACCAATATGTGCAAAGCCATGCAGGAATAAAGGAGTATGGCGTGTCCAGGCTTAGTAGCTCCATTTGGCAGTAGCTTGGGAATTATGAGCAGAGGTGGCAGGAAAAGAAGCTGAAAAGAGATGCAGTTTTCACACTGTCAAGGTTGTTGGGTCCAGGAAGAAGGGTTGGAGTTCTTGTGGGGCACATATTCTCATTGCAGACTTTGAAGCAAGGATGCAGCTAGAATGGAGTTTGAGGGAGGTCATGTTGGTGGCATAGACTGCAGATGGGCAGATGGGGGCCTGATGAGGTTGTACAGTCCATGCACTAGACCAGCGTGCTGGTTAAGGAAGTGAGTAGGACCTGCTTGGGCTTCCCAGATGGCACAGTGGTAAAGAATCTGCCTGCAATGCAGGAGATGCAAGAGACAGTGGTTCAATCCCTGGGTCAGGAAGATCAGGAAGATCCTCTGAAGAAGGAAATGTCAACCCACTCCAGTATTCTTGCCTGGAAAATTTCATGGACAGAGAAGCCTGGCAGGCTACAGTGAAGGGGTTGCAAAGAGTCAGACACAACTGAGCATGCAGGCAAGGACTCGCTTGCTTGGCTGCTTGCCTGTATGTGCAGTGCACCAGCTCAGAAGAAAGGGCCCCCTTTGATGATCTTTCTACTGGGAGGAAGCACAAAATGCCAAATATGCAGGCCCAGGAGCACCAGGCCACCAGAGAGGGTTAGAGGAGAGGAGGAGCTGAATTCAGGCCACGCCAGGGAAAGGTGAGTGGTGCAGCTTTTTAATAGGTAGAACTGATAGGGAGGATTCCAACTCATGACTCAGCTGTGCCTTTATTCTTCTTTCAATATACTCAGGAACAAGTTAGGAGAATAAAGAATTCTGAAAAAAGTCTGTTTCTTTTTTTCCTGACATTGCCAGTATACCTGGATAGAAGATCGCTGTTACAATGCTAATGAAGCTTCTGGATCAACTGTGGATTTCAATTATATACTACCCAGCTCACAAAGAGTTGGACACGACTGAACAATGACAACAACCACCCAGCCATGTTAATAAAGGGCCAGTGATTTAGACCATTAACTTAGTTCCAAAAGTCCATCAAAGGCTGACTGGGCCAGGTACTCCTGAAGCTTTTGGGGAGAGAAGGGATCCCACGAATAAAAGCAGTATGATGGTCCTAGACACTCACTAGCCACACAGCCTTCTTGCTCATTTAACTGAAGATTTCTGTGTTTTAGGCTGGCACTTCTCAAAGCCTGATACTGGGCCAGCAGCCTCAACATCACCTGAAACTTGTTAGAAACATGCATTCCCCAGCCCCGCCCCCACAACAGTAGAATCAGAATCTCTGGGGCTGGGCCCAGCAGTCTGCTTTAAGGTGATTCTCATGCATGTTCAAGTTCAAGAACCCCTGCTCCACCAAAAAAAGAAAAAAAAAGAAAATACTGGCCAAATGACCAAAAATACACAAAAAAGACCCCATTCATAATGTTTCTCTGACCTCTGATTCTCAGATCTTTTCAGTTGTAATCACTGGCACCTAACTCCCCAAAGCGTGT